TGATATTGTTCAACATTCAGCTTTTTCCTCCGTGTTGACTTTCTTGCCTCAGAGTAGGAGATATTTATCCTTCTCATTATCCATTTCCTTGTTCTTAAACCCCAATCCTAGTCTCTGAAAAGGTCTTGGCTCATCTTGAAGCTAATAGTGGACAAAAGTTTTATCTCTTCCTTAGTTCTGGAGACTGTTGAAACCGATGGGAAATTATTATTAAGTCTGATATTTACACTTGGGTCTGACCTATAGTACATCTCTCTGTATAGCCACTGGGAAGAGGTTTGTTCTCAAAAGTTTTGCGTTGTTTCTGCATCAATTCTCTTAACTATTCCAAACTTAGATGAAGAAGATTCAGCTTTCTACCAACAGCAAGAAATGCTCAGAATGATTCCCATGGACATACGTTCTCTTGACTATATAAACTAACATGTAAAATTGGAAAAAACAAAACAAAACAAAGCAAAAAAGTCAAAGTCTGTTTGACACTTGGGGGACCTGCTGCCTGACTTTCATTGTGCACACGACCTCATTCCTTTTAGGCTTTGGACCTGGATGGCTAGTGACTATTTTCTTTGCTTCTTAAGATGGTTGCTATTTTCAAACAATGATACCAGGTCTGAGGAAGGCTGATGTGGTAACTGGTGAGAAGAAAGTCAGACTCATTTATTTCTTTGGGCTTGCAGGTGGAAGCGAAGAGGATCAGACAGAAAGCTGATTCTCTCTCCAGCCTGGTGACCAGACATATGGATGAGTTCAAGCGTGTGCAAAGCAATCTGGGAAACTGGGAAGAAGAAACCCAGAAGCTCTTACAGAATGGAAAGAATGGGAGACAGGTATTCCTTTGTTAATCTGTTCACTCAATAAATATGTTGAATGCCTACCGTGGGAATAAATGTGGCAAAAAGAACCATCAAAAGCGATCTGAAGGTCATACTGCCATTGCTTATACAGGGAGTAACTGAGATGCAGAGGTCTTGATGTAATTAGCTCAGCTCCACCCACTGGGTCAGCCTTCAATCCTAGGAACAGGTCGCAGGCCTCCTAGATCTAATTTTAGTCTAACTCTGTCTGTTAGCTTGGCTTCAGGAAATATCCAGAGTTTAAAATTATGATTTGCAAAACTTTCCCTGTACTTGACAGTGGACTAAAGTTTGAGACTGTTCTCTATATGGGGTGTGTTATTGACTGACCAAGTTTGCTCTCTCCCAGATTATATAGGGGTTTGTTACAGCACCCCAGACTCTGCAGTAATCACAGCATTCTGTTGTCATGAAGAGAATGTGTCAGAGTGATTTTGCTAGCAGGAATGCACTTACTCTAATCTGGTTTTGTCTGCCTATTTACAGAAATCAGATCAGCTGCTTTCCCGTGCCAACCTTGCTAAAAGTAGAGCCGAAGAAGCACTAAGTATGGGCAATGCCACTTTTTACGAAGTTGAGAACATCCTGAAGAACCTCAGAGGTTAGTACTTCATGGTTCAGCTCTCTTGAGTATTTTAAAGTATAGCCACAACTGACTTATTTTGAATCCTTACATATCCCTTCCAAGTGGTGATAGGTGTATTGAGGTATTCATAGATGCTTAGTAAA